AAACTATCTGGTGGCTGCTCCCCAATGCGATCCAGTCCAGCACCAGGTTCCGGAGTCTGCTTATGCCGGGCTCACTCTCACGCTGAGACGCTGAGGCATGAACTGGGAGGGCCAACGGTTCTCAAAGTGAAGATATCTTGGGTTATCACGAATTTTACGTGGGTTAAAGCCAGCGGACCTGCGGCTTTAATATAATATCGTGTTGCTTCGAATGCTCAAACTCATCTACCAAGAGTGAGGCAACAGATTGAACTCGAGACCGGTACTCGCAGGTAAGAGTTTGTGTCAACGCTTTCGAAGGATTAGCAAATAGCCGAATCATTATCGGACCTTAGTTTGTCCGCCAGATGCCGGAATCCAATGACCCTAGTGGCTTAGCTGTGCTGTACATTGGGTCGCAATCCTCCTGTAATTTTGGACATAATTTTTCGATCATGTCAACTGATTCATTATGGGGGCACCCTCAAAAAGTGACGAATGTACGCTATCAAAATGGTAGCGATCTCAACTCAGCCCAGTTGATTTCACAGATCTTGCAGCTGAGGTTCCAGGCGTTCAATTGAGCGTTCAGCAGACGCTCCTGCTGCCATCATTGGGGCTGTGTTCTGTAGATTCTGTAGCCAACAGGTCACAATGACAATGGTTTTTTTCCTGGGCCAACAAGTTTCGATTTCACATGTCATTTCATGCGCTCACGTGTTTCCAGATGGGTTTGAACCACCAGACGAAGCGACAACCCCATTGGTTTCCATAGACACTGAAGGGTCAGGATGTGGAAGCTGGTGGCACAACATCATGGTTTTCAGCTTCACTGTCGCGTAGATTTGGCTGAAGGGTCCCCAAAAACGGTCGGTCGACCGCCCCAGAAAACCATCGGAAGATCTGGGTGGAAGATGTCACCGTCAGCTATTCGGCCGCTGCGCCAGCAGGGTGTGTTTGTTTGTCACTTTCTTTGGTGCAACACTATGCAACTACAAATAATCTTAAGTATGGTGCTCCGGATGGTTATATAGTTATATAATATGTTTGTGACTCACCAGTCACTTCACGTTTGCCCGGTGTTTTGGGATATCTAAAGGGATACCCATCCAATTACTCCCGGCCAATATAAGTGGTCTGCAACCCATGTGCAAATATGTATAACCATGATCAACCCACATCTAACATTACGAAACTTGGGATATTCCGCAACTGGGGTATGTACATTACAGTAATACGGTTAAACTACCGCTTTCCTAACTGAGATGCCCATCAAAGGAGGCATCAGTGAGTCCTGAAGGGATTTCGCACTCGTAGGAGCCACCCGGGGTGGTGAACGCTGGTGTTTTCACTGGGGCGACTGCCATGCGGCCGCCATGGGCAGGGGAAAAGAACATTTCTTGGAAACATCAGGCTTGGAATCGTGATTTTGGTGTATTTTGGTGATGATTTTGGTATATTTTATGGTGATTATGATGGTTCTACTACTGGTTTCGATGAGTTCGACCTGTCAGCCCTGGTTTATGTGAGAGATGACCCCCAAAAGACAACTTTCGTAAGCGAATTTGTTGGATGGGTTGAACGTCATTCAACGACGTTGCATCAGTGGTCAGTTCCAGTTCTTCACACCAGCGTCCTTAGGGGAGGACTTTCGGTCGTCGTTCAGCTTCACCAGAGAAAAGCTGCGCGATGTGGAGCAGGATGTAGCAGCAGTGCGGAGTGGTTTCCGATGGGATGGGTCAAACAATGGTGAAATCCATTCGAATCCCCTGATTTTCCGATAGATTTCTTGGGATTTTTCGGTATGTGTTGGGGGTAAACATCCATAGCTGCTGGCTCTTGTGATATCTTGTGATATTCGCCAGGGCACCGCAGTTTCGATCCATAGCCGCCATAGCCATTTCCAAGTTGTACTGGGGTGATTGCAGCAATGAAGCTAGTGAGCGGGATACATCCTTGTCATTGAAGGGGTCAGAACCACACTCCACGCACTCACACATTCAGCTGCCTCATCAGAGACTTGGTACTGCGGCAAGCCAAATCATAAAGCATACCCATAGCCATTTTTAGCCAATGACTTGCTATTTGGAGTGCTTCAGAACCATACCCCTGGGCATCCCAAAGATAGCAAAAAATGGTAATTTCCAGGCGAAGAGTTTGCCCAGATTCATAGTTGCTTACAGTACATCCCAATTATAATCATTACTGGTTGGTGTTTCATATTCATGTTCAACCATACCCATAGGATCCATGTATGCCATATATGGTAACATTTACCATCAATATACCCCAAATGTTAGCATATATACCAGCACCATGGATCCTATGGGATATATAAACATAATGATCCCCAATGACAAGCTGACAAGTGTCAGAGCTGGTGAAGCCACAAACCAAACATATCCATAGCCATGATATCCAGGCTGTAGGGATAGCGAAGAAATCCGGGAAGCCAAGTGGAAGCCAGTGCCTGCGAGCAGGCCACTAGTGAGTTGATGGGCGGGTTTGATGGTGGTTGATCTTTGTCCATTAAACCATGACTTTCTTATACTTTATGATTCTATGTTTATTGTTTAAATGTTCCATCCCACCTGGAATTTTATGATCCGAACAATATATATATATATATATATATGTGTGTGTGTGTGTGTGGAAGGGACCTTTATGTATAGAATGACGGGGTTTGGGGAAAAAAACTTCACAAGACCTACAATAACTGTCCGAAGGTTAATTTTGATTTCATCTGCCGCCGCTCCACCCTTTCACATTTCCATCTCGCTTCTGAGGACCTCAATTACTATTCCATAAGAAAGGCTAGTCTAAAATCCGATCTCCTTATTCATCTCCTTTTCAATGTTTCTCTGAATTCATGGGTGCATTTCCTTTGGCTTTCCTTCAAGTTTGCTGTCAGATTTATCCTGGCATCTAGACTTTGTACATTTCCTTTTCGAAATTTAAATTCCTAATGAAATTGTTCCAGTTCCTTCAACCTTTCAAGTTTTATTTTGGCATTTTTTTGCCCACCAGGGGGGTCTAAATGGATCTAATATGATTCAATATGTACGATATGCCAAAGAACTGCCTTTTTGTCCATCCCTCCTGGAGATCATGGTGCCCCATTCCGCCAAGACAAACATGACTGGCTCATATTATGGTTATATAATTTGCTGAGCTAGGATTCCGGATGCGCTCCCAAGCGGTTCAGAATGGCAGGCAGGTGCAAATCGCTGCGCAACTCGGTGCGCTGGTGGCGATGGATGGCGGCAGCACGGATGTCAGCGACACGGCAGAGGCCATGATGCCATGGAGCGGGTTGCGCGAGTCGCAGGCTGGATGGGTGGATGTCCTGATATGTCCTGATATACATTAGTACTCGCCCTCTGGTAAACTGCCACATAACTATGGAACATCTCCATTTTTAATGGGTAAATCAACTATTTCGACTGGGCCATTTTCAATAGCTATGTTAGTTTACCGGAGGGTGTTCATTGTGATTTTAGAATGTATAATGCCATTTATAGAATGTATAATTCCAGTTATGGCCATGGCTATTGGTTATAACTGGTGATTTCTATGGGATTCTATACATTCCATAGGTGGAGTTTTAGTGCTTATAAATGGTATTTCGGGCGATAACTATATATGGTACACCATGGTTGTGAGAAATTTGCGTGTTGCTTTCTCATGGCATGTTGGCTTTGTTGGACAACCCCATCTTACTATGGTTACGATATTTTATATTAATAAAAACATGATTAAGCCAGTTAGAAACAGAACTTGTACTTTGCAGTTTTAATTTTGGAGTGGTAAACCTTGGTTGTTGAGTATGCTTAGGGATTCCAATCACATCCTCACCATTGTGCCTTGAAATACCATGCAAAACATCTATTATCTCTCAGGGAGTGGTGAAATGGTTGAAGTTATATCAGCTACGTCAGCTGCAGCCAAGGTCCATGATGACAGTTGTGGAGTCACTGTCCACCTTTCAAGGGGCTCATGATAAAGCCTGAAGACCAGGGCAACTCCTAGAGACAGAATCTGCGGAAGCAGCCAGTTGGTATAGTTTCTATCGTTTATTCTTGTTTTGTATTGTGGATGTCAGTTTTCAGCATGTGTTGTTGATTTCATTTAATGAAATTCATTTAGTTTAATCTGCCCGGAATGAGGCGTCCGGCGTCGTCTAGGTTCCGTTTGCGGAAAATCTTTGGACCCCAATCAGTGCCAGCTTCTCCTCCCTGCAATGATCCCCCACTCCAAAGCCAGCTATTCGATTCTCTTGCTTCAAGCCTACTAGGACCAGAAGAATGAATCCTGTTTTACCGGATGTTGCAGGAAGGCGGAAGAAATTCGGAGGTTCAACAATGATATGATATGATATGATATGATATGATATGATATGATATGATGTATTCTAGGTTTTTCCTGTTTTCCCTTCAACCAGGCCCTTGAAACCAGCTCGCCACTCAGCTGGGATGACCACTGTGCTGGTTCGCAGGCGGATTGGTCCGCCATTGCCCAAGCCACTGCGACTTGGCGGGTGTGGATTCCCCACCTTTTTCGAATTGCCAGAAGTTGCTTCAAAACGGATCCTGTGAGTCCTCCATGAGGGCTACAAGTCTTCGTGACTCATATTTTTTCTTTGGGTTTTGGCCCGTGCTGAGTCAGTGCTGTTGATGGCGAGGGTGTCAGGATGAATCCAATGTGACCACCTGGACGGCAGCCAGGACATCTGGCTGGCCACACGGGGCACATAAGCTGTCAATGAGTAGCGGCCATCCACAAGTCCCAAGTACCAGCGGCCTACAATGCAACCAACAACTAAAAGAAAATAACCATGTTTGTCTGAACATGGGCCCCCCCAAATTTTGATGGTTCATCATCACTTTCCCCCAGAAGAACATATTAGAACTTAGAACTATATATGATTTTATGGCTACCCCCATCTTCAGTTGGCCATTTGCCGCATCCGCAGTGGGCCGCGCGTCGCAATCTTTGGCTCAAAGATTTGCTGAGGGCTCAATAGCGAGTAGCCTTCAGCCGGTGTGAGTGCCTGCTTCGGTGCCCGAACAGTTCAAGGGATGGCAGGAAACCGGTGTTTCTACCACCAAATGTAGGGTTTTCCGGTGTGTAAGAGGAGCACCTGACTGTAGGTCGGAAGACTAAGACTAAGATGAATCCTTCAAAGGAATAAAGCCTTGGATTGATGGGATATGTGGGTTGTCTCAAGTTGGGGGGTACTGTACCCAAAGAATCTTGAAATTGTTGTTTTTAATGGGAATTATGGCAAACCATTAAGTTCTGGATTTCATTTTGGTGGATTAAACCATATTTGTTGGTAGATCTGTGGCCTCCTTTTTTTTGTGCGAACCCTTTCTAATGGTGACATGCTAATCCCCATGTGTAGCAAGAAACTCTGCTAAACCACGTTGCAGCCGGTCGAAATAGTAACCCCAAGGTGCACAGACACAGGGCTAGTAGATGATGAAGAACGAGGCACGCTGATGAATGGACATCTGATTTTTGAGGATTTACAGTACCCGCAACATCCCGCAACGGTGTCTTCAAACATGGCTAGTTGTGAAATCCTTTGACGAAATGTAACTAAAGGGATGGTTTCTTGGAAATCATCGAAAGAAATGGTGGATTTTCCAGCAAACCATATTTGATCTTTGATTACTGGAGGGTATTGGGCAGAGCCATGGCAGTCATAAGTGCAAAGGATATAAATGGGGAATGCAACATCCCGCGAACCTAAACGTTTTCCAGGGTAGCCAAGGTTTGTCACGTGTTCCCCAAGTCGGGAAGAAGAATCTCCCGCAATGTAGTCCAGTACCACCCATAAATAGAGTAGAGTCAGTCATTGAAAAAGGTACTGAGTTCATTGGCTAGCGGCTTGCTACAAAGTGGCCCCACTAGATATAAGTTTATGTATCACATGCTACAACCCCACCTAGGCGAGTTAGAATCATGTTTTATTCCCCATAAAACCACTATAAACCACTGCTAATCAGGTTTGAAATCAATTTAGCCATCTTGCGGGGCACCATAAATCACTGGATTTTGCAGCGACGGAATGAAGAAAGGTCAATCTCAGCCCGTCTTTGGCTTCCACCTTTAAGGTGGTATATACTGGGGATGAGAGAGAGAGAGAGGGCGGTGGGGAGGTATATAATGGGTATTTATATGAACTTATCTGAATCAATTATAACGACCTCACGCTGCGACGGCACTGGAATAATGGTTTGGATTGGGGTAAGTATATCCCACATAGAAGAAATACAAAGACATTGAATTATATATATATAATAGTATCATTTATATATTCAGTTATCATCATTTATCCACATCTGTTTGCAAAGGCGACAGCCAAGGCGACAAGTTTGGTGGTGATGATCCCAATTTGTGATGATAGATCTTTGGGTCCAGCATTTGCCCACAAACAATGGGATATGATGGATGAAATCCCTGGACCCCAGCATGGCCATCAAGAATCACCATGAATCACCATGAATGGCAAATGAGTTACCCGGTAAGGTAATTCAAGAGTTTGCGAACTTGAACATGGCCCAGTCGAAATAGTTGATGACTACCCATCAAAAATGGTGATTTTCCACAGTTATTTTCTAGTAAAATCACTATTTTTCATGGGTAAATCCATTATTATGGCAATTTTCAATAGTTATCCCATAGGATCCATGGTGCTGGTATATATGCTAACATGACTGGGCTATATTGATGGGATCCATGGCACACCATATATGGCAGCACCATGGATCCGTCATGGCTATGTGGCAGTTGACCAGGCCGGGTAGAAAAACCTCCGTGGCCCCACATGGGATGATCGGTCAGAGGGCGCCAGGCACATGGGGACGCGGAAGATTACACAGAGAGTGATGACGAGGGGGCAGACGGCTACCGCAGCATTGGCAGCAAGGAGTGGGCCTCTAGCCATGCCATCTATAAATCTGGGTGATTTTTTTAACGACCGAAGCCTGTTCTCCCGAGCCCTGGAATCATGGTTTATTTGAGGGAAATCATCCCCAAATGGCCGAACCATTCAGGTTAGTGAAATATTATAACTTACCCAGATAAATGGGATATTAATGGGAAATTAATGGGATTTTATAGTGATTCAATGTGATATTAATTGGATATAGCCAACCTGGTTATGACTAACAGTTCGCCATGGTATAGATGGGCCATAGAAATAGATGGTTTGCCGAACTTAAACATGGTGATTTTCCATGGCTATGTTAAATCACCAGATGGTAATTGGTTTAAAAAAAACATGCCAAAAAAAACACATGTCCAAACATGCCAAAAGCCTATGAGGAGACACCAAACTTTTCGGCACCAAAATCAACTCATTGAAACCATCTGAACCAGGGCCACACTTTTCGGCGGTGCAATCTTCGCTTGAGACCACACCTCTTTCGCTGAGGCAAAGGTGGATACCACCCCGTGCACGTGGGCGAGATTTACAACGGCCGGTACCACGTATTGGCGAAGCTGGGTTGGGGCCACTTTTCCACCGTGTGGCTTTGTCAGGACCGCTGGTAGTAACCTGCGATCGAATGGATTTCATGGGGATAAGCGTCGAACATGGGGATATCATAGGGATATAATGGGTAGCCAATGATGACCTGGTTGGTGGTTTCAACTCTGTGTTTCAAACCATATATTTGGGATGATATTCCCAACTGACTAGCGTGTTTCGGGGAGGTTGAAACATGTTGAAAACGCCAACCAATTTTGATGATTTTGATGTGTTGTGTCTTGATTATACATTGGTTACTGTAAATTGTGTTGCGACCTCACTGTTCTCCCTCACTGGAATGACGATGAATGGTTTGTAAGGTGAATTATCATGAATTATCCCAATATTAATCAAACTTTTCAGGTTCGTGAACTATTTCAATTTACCCCAGAGTTAGATCTTTGTTCTTTAATTTCAATTCCTCAGAGTTATGGAGGATCTAACAATGGAGACTTCCAATGGAATAATTCATGGATCCAGCCGTGGCGCACTCAAGTCGTCCAGGAAATTCATCAAGCTTCTGTCATTCTTCATGTTGTTTTCAGGGATTGGCCGCACTTATGAGATTTTATGTATATACATATTATGTATCATCAGCATCATCATATACATACATATATATATATATATATTATGTATGATTATGTATGTATGTGTATGTTTGGTCTATTAGGTCTTTTAATTGCATGTATTTTCCTGCTTTTCCTTGTTCCATTGTTGCGCTCCCCCGGCCAAAAATCAGCACACGCCACACAGGACCTCTCAGCAACCCGTTATGTAGCCATGAAGGCTGGACAGATGAAGCTTCCAGCCTTCCCAGAACCATCGAACCTGCCAGAAGCCACGGGCCAGGTCCAAAAGAGCGCTCCACACTACACCGAAGCAGCCTATGATGAGATCGAACTCCTGGCCGAGGCAGCGGCTTCACAGTAATCCACATTTTTTTTTGTTTGGAATTGTTTTTAGAAAAAATAGAAACACGTCATATCCCATAGGATCCATGTATGCTATATATGGTAACATTTACCATCAATATACCCCAAATGTTAGCATATACCAGCACCATGGATCCTATGGGTATTAGATCAAATTTCATGTCCAGGTGTTAGATGATATTTGATCTGGGGTGAAGCCACCAACGGATGGAGGTTTCCATGGCCAGGGGTTATAGCTGGTTTAGTTCATGGAAAAACCTTTTAAACTATATTAAAATTGGGATGATTTAGGGATATCCTAAAATTTTAGGAATCATCCATATATATATATATATGTACATACATCATATGACTTATATGACAGATTAATGTGGTGAACTGTTTAAGCATTACATCTTTGATGTTTAAACGAGTCGACCAAGCCGGAAGACCTCGATCATCCCTAAAGAGGGGACACCATCCCCCCAAGAAAAACCAGAAATTTTAGTGGAAACTGATCGTTGGAATTTCTATTTAAGGACTTAAAGAAATAATTACTTGGATCTATTTAGATCTATTTGGCAGGGTCTATGTTTCTATGTTAGTTGCGGGTATGATGATCATTTCCTTGAACCAGCGGGAATCATTGGGATTCGTTGTGAGTTGTTTCAATCACGTCTTATTTCCCATCCTGTGAAATGTATGTTGGGTTGATCATACCACCCGACTTGATCTGGTTGGTGGTTTGGAACATGAATTTTATGACTTTCCATCTATTGGGAATAATGATCCCAATTGACTTTCATATTTTTCAGAGGAGTGGCTCAACCACCAACCAGTGATATTTATGCCATGTTGGTGATATCTTGGTGAGGGCGCCTTCGATCCTTCGGGCCTTCCTATGTTGCCTGAGGATCCCATGCATCAACTGTTGCGGGGGTGGTTAACCACCGATTGCAGCCTTGCGAGGCAGCCAAAAGAAGCAAAGATGCAGCATGGGAGGTCGGGCCTGACACATCGCATAAATTTGCCTTGTCTAAGCTCTAAAAGCAGTGGAGATACGTAATTCGAGAAGAGATATGATGAAGCTAAAGCCTTTAAAGCCGCCAAGTGGAGGATATGAAATGTTCGATAACTGGCAACACACCAATCATGTCATCATGTCGTCATAGTCACCATCCCATTGGTTCATATTGGTCCCATTCCATGCCAGCCAGGAAACTCAGAAAGGACCTTTGAGGGAGCTCTTTCCAGATGGGGGAGAAGGCTTCACCGGAGTAGTCCAGCTCATTGTCGCTTGGCGTAACCAAAAAAACCTCTGGAAACCTCGTGAAAGACGTACCCGGATCTGGCCTTTTTCAAAGATTCCCCATGAGACAATCGCAGATTCATCCACAGGCTGATTTCGCCATGGGATTTTGGGCTGGGTTGGTCAATCGGCTGGGGTGGAAGCCTCGCAGCTCCTTCCGAGGACTACTTCGAACATTTTGGTGTGAACGGGAAGCATGCACTTTGCACGCATGAGGGGTCGCTGTGAATATTGGAAAGGGCAGGAATGAAACGGACATCTGTGGCTACCATGCGCCTGTGAATGTCAGATTCCTACAGCCTAGGGCCTGCCTACCTTGCGAATTCTTATTCATGATCACATGTGTTTAATTGTGTATATATATAGATGTGTGTGTGTGTGTCAATATGTATCATTATAATTGATTATCCATGCAATATTCATGCAATGAGCTAAACCCAAACGCCCAAAGCATCCCCAATTCGGATCGGCCTGGTTCGCTGTGGCGTTGGTGCTGGATCACCCAGTGAAGTGCCGTGGACATTTCGAATATGCATAGCAAGCTGATAGGTACATTTGTGGAAACATTGGATGTTTTTCTTAACATCCCCCGATAAATACCCGCGATTGCCTAACAGATCCAAAAATGGAGATAGTATGCTGAAGGCCATATGTTTGGATGATGTGGCCCTCCCTAAAAACCCAAACATAAACATGCTAGTAGTACGGCCAGGTGCTGTGTGTTGCCCGGAAGGTTCAAATGGCATTTAAACATGTTTTGAACATTATCCTTCAACATGCTCAAACACCTGCGCAGGGCCATTTTTTTTAGATTTCCCAGACGACCCTAAACCCCAAAACCCTAAACCATCCTAAAACCTAAAACCCCAAACCCTAAAATCCCAAACCCTAAAACCCTAAAACCTAGGCTCTGAAAACTTTGAATCCTAAACTGGAAAACACTAAGTATACGCAGTATTTTCTGCAATCTCTCCTAATTATCATATATTCAACAGCACGACATTCTCAATGTTAATGTCTGGGCAACTCACGGCATCTGTGGGTAGTAGGTACGCGATGCATTAAAAATGGCCACGATCCAGGTCTGCATGGTCTTTGAGACGATGGGTCCGAACGTTTTGGCCCTCATCAAGAGGTCAGCTGGGCGAGGTAGGTGTTAAATTGCAAGGGGATGAGCACTGGGATATTTATATACAACTGACACAGTGACACATTGATATTCTACTGGCATTGCTTACATGGGCCGTGCTTAGACATATGGTGCACCATCCACATCCCGGTCTTGCACCCAAAAACTTGACATAACTTGACCCTTTCCCAAGCCCCGAGCCCAGGTACAATTTCAAAGGCATTCCCGTGGATATTGTCCGGAAGGTCACCACTCACACCTTAATTGGCTTGGATTATTTGCACCTTGGCTGCCGCCAGGGACGAGTTCAGTCTTGATCAGTACCCCAACAGGTTCTCCATCCTGGGCACTTTTTGAAACTCTTGTGGGTCCCTGGAAGGTTTAGGCAAGCAGGTGTTGACCACAATAAACTCCCAGTCACCCCACAGTTACTTGAAGTAAGCCGACTGTTTTTTCAAACATGTTGTGCTTGTCTTTTTCATTTGCAGGTCCGTTCTTCTAGGCAAATTACCCAAACATTTGATGGTCAAATCTATTTGGGCTACCTAGAAAAGTTGCCTTGGGATCCTTGAAGCTGGTCTGGGAGCAACCTGGGCATCACCATACCACCATACGCACATATACATGCCATGCCATTGCATTTCGTAACGTTCCGTTACGTTACGTTACATAATATTACTTACCCATAGGATCCATGTATGCCATATATGGTAACATTTACCATCAATATACCCCATTCATGTTAGCATATATACCATACATGGATCCTATGGGTTACAATACGCACTTTTATGTGAATATATACCATTATATATATTATATATATGTGTGTGTGTAGGTAGAGAGATAGAGAGAGAGAGAGAGAGAGACCTCCGACCTCAGGCACCGGGTTTGTGGCATCATCCACACGGATTTGAAGCCAGAGAACGTGTTGCCTGAATTTTCATGGTGCTGCAACATGGTGATTCAGTGGGATTGAATGGTGTTTTAGTGCTGATTTAATGGTTATTGAATGGAAAGTAATGTTGATTTAATGGTTATTTAATGGTGATTCAATGGAATTTCATGGAATTGAATGATGGTTTAATGGGGCTTAATGGCTGTTAAAAACATATGTCCTGGATCTTTCATCGAGCATTTCATGGGGATTCAACCAATACCTTTTTCACCCCGGCTTCGCTGAGCCCCAGCAACAACCACGATTTTTCCGGGGCGAATCTCAACTATCTATGGCTGGGGAGGTAACTTTTGGGTGAGTCACCTGTGGGGGTCGTTGGTTGATATGTTTCATGTTTTATTGTGTGGGAAATCGACCAGAAATTGGAAGCGTTTAGTTCAAAGTCACCGCTTTGGGGTTGTTAAGTGACCATTTCAATATAGTGACTTGAAACTGATAAGATTACCTTGAATTTAAAGACATGGACAGAATTGGAAAGATATGGAAAGTGCATTGACATGGACAGCATGGACAGTGGATCTTTCGAAGTCTGCAAAACTTGGGAAACCTCGAAGGTTGGTGGGCTGCCCCCGGGGCGTTCCCGTGAACAAGACGGGCGTGCCATTGGTGGGCAATGTGGATCCCGCCGCGGTGGCTGCGAACTTCAAGAAGGACACAAGCGCCAAAAGCGAGGAAAAGAAGGGCAAGAAGAAGGACCCGCTAGTACTTGGGAGCGCAGTTGGGATGAGAAGAATGGGTATCACTCTATATAGAAAAACTATGAAAAACTGGTTGGTGGTTTGGAACATTTTTATGACTTTCCATCTGTTGGGAAAAATCATCCCAACTGACTAATATTTTTTCAGAGGGGTTGAAACCACCAACCTGTATATGTATATATATATATACATATATATATAGTAGGAATAGTAGGAATGTAGTAAGAACCTCCAGAGCTTGGGATATGGGACCCCTACAACTATGATGAGACATAGACCACTTATTAGTAGAACTGCGGGTTCAAGACCCTTGTGTATTAGTCATAAAAGACGATAAAGTTAATCCAATCCCCTTCATATTAAACATCCCCTACAGAAACCATGGTCGTGGATGTCGGCAACAAAGGCACAAGTTTCGAACCATACAAGATTTCTGAAGTGAGTACTGCACCATTTAGCAACTTGAGGCAATGGCATATCCAGCAGATTCATGTGCACGTGGTTGATTTTCCACTGCCCCGTATGTTTATCAGATGGTAAAATCCCCGCCCTTTAGAGTTCTAGACTACCCTTCCAGGCAGTCTGATGGCAGAGGCCCCCAAAAAGATAGACAATGCACAGTAGCAGTGCGACAACTTCTAGTTGGTCCCTTCTGGGCTCATCACGTCAGGACAAAAAGTTTGATGAAGAAGGCCGGGCAAGTGGGCTGAAACAGAAATACAATCTGGTGTCATCATGGCTAGCTGGGAAATTCCTTATAAATGGAAATCTTACTGTAATGAGAAAATATTCTATACATATATATATACACATATAAATGGTGGATTTTCCATTGCCATGCTTGATTACTCAAGGGTACCTGGCTGATGTTCAATATGTTTTCAAATTATGGCTCTATTATTGCCCAGCAAAGGTGGTATGGAAAGCGGCCATGAGAATATCCAGACTGGGGTCCCATTTGGTCTCTGATTTTACACCCCAGGAAAAGCCAAATTGACCGAGCTGAATAATGACTATATATATATATATACATACATATGTATATATATATACACACATAGGTCTTGAACGTGTCAGAAAACCGCACCCGTGACATTCCAGGTTTTCAGTTTTGGCCTATTCAACCTTATAACTATGTACTATTATTTCAAGTTGTCCTCATATGACTATACCCCAACATTATTCCGGCATTGGTCAAAACTTTCTTTTATTGTTTTAAAGGAGTACTGTTTGAAATACTACTAATACCAAGGCTATCTATGCTTTCCAGTGTTCTGTGCCCTTTTGCTTTATCAAGCCGAATCATACCTATAATTACCCAGTCGCAACACTACTCGCAGACTTGAAGGGGACATGTGCAGGATTTGCCTCCTTCAACCCACTTGGGTGCAAATATCATGATCCCAACTGCAAATGTTACCTTAAATCATCGAAATCTATCGAAATCTGCTTACGCCCACTCCGCTTAAATTGTACCCCAAAGATGTCTCGAGTCTCCAAGAACTCCAATGGCCCAGAGCTGGTTCCACCGCAAGGTTCAGATGTCGAAGATGAAGCTGCACCCAGACCTCCACCTATGCTGGTTCCTTGACGTCAGCTATGCCGTTCTGGGAAAGACACCATTGGATTTTTTTTTCACAACGTGGGACCGCCCCAGTTCTAAGTTGCTTTATGTAGCTAAGGTGTAAACTATATAGTTAATAGTTCTAGGATGTTATAAATAATGTATAATATCTATAAACTCTGATTATTGGAGTTCTAAACCACCTTAGCTAGGCCCTAGGTGGCCCATATGTCGGGGATCATGTTGATGTTGGGCAGATCCATGGATCCCGCACACGGAAGGTATGCAGAAATATCCCATTTTTCGAAGACAGTTTAAGATTTTTTTAAGTCGTTGAATAAATGTTGAATCCCATTCAAAAATCCATATCAGCCTTTTTTTAACTCCAGGTAGAGTCACAACTGATCCATCGACATAAATCTGGATCAGTTGTAGCACGGATCAACCAATGCCTTGCGGCAAATCTTAGGTCCATGACCCCATGCAAACAGCTCCTCCTGAGCCTATAGAGCCTCCCTACATGACGCTTGGACGCGGTGCTGGTCTTGCTGGTCTTGAACTCTGGGGACTATCCCAAAAGATTGCCGTTGAAATAATCGCAACTAGGGAGTCTAGTGATGATTAAATCTTGTTCTCCCCACGCTTTGGCACGGATCAACCAGAGGATTTGGAGGTTCCAAACCAGACAATCCTGTGTGGCAACAGACAATGTGAAGATCCAACAAAACTGTGTTCGTATAGAGAAATAGCTTCAGACAATTTCTGATTCTCACATCAGTAGGTGGGCCCTAAAGTCCCTAAAGGTCATGATTGTTGACCCATATTTCATGAGTGAACTTTCCTAACATCCATGATGGCAGCCATGGCAGCCCATCCGCCCCTCCGGCAGTCGAACATGGCTGGGAGATGCCGAACTTAATGGGCCAATGGGCATTTAAACGGAAACATGATCTATAAATGCGACATGTTCGACATGTTCAAAAACGTTTTAAAAACGCTTTCCATTGCCATGTGAAATTGACTCATTTGTAAGGCGGGAAGCCATTAGTACCCTGCAGCCCTGCAGGAAGCCATTTTTGAAGCCAAGCCGATCAGATCCCACTCTGTTGTCTTCATATGGTGTCTCGGCACGGACCTAGAGATTGGGATGCTTGGTTAGCGCCACGAATGATTTATGATAGACTAGACTATCAGATTGACTTTTCAAGCAGCTTTTGTAATATCAATAAATATATTTTTTTTGCAGGCGATTTTGCATTTGCAATGGGTAGGCAATAATGGATACGGATGGGGATGGGGATGGGAATATAGTCAGCAGTCATTGGCATCCAATGTGTAACATGTAATTTAACATGGTGTAACCATGATATTTCCACCACAGACACAGCTTTGTACTTCAGCTCATTTGACATTCGTGCCTCGAAACTAGGGTTGTCTACATTTACATTTGGTTTAGACGTAAAATGATCCTAAAAGCTTTACAATCCACATATCCACCCCATATATCCCCGTAGAAAAAGACAGTCCCTCATAATGGGAAAACCATGCATCGAATTTGGGATTGAGAGATGTTCTGTCTACTCCAGTCTAGCACAACCACTTTGTCGTATATACAGTAATGCATATTTACTGCAATACAAAAAGGCAACCAAGTCATGAAATATAAGGTATATATCTATATGCCAATGCCCACATATTAATATAGACATTTTAACATATCTGCATATACTATTAAAATACTATTATGATGACATCAATGATTTATTGGTACTGCTGTAGTCATTCTATAAGTGTTGTTATTCTTCGTTGTTCTTCGTTGCGTTCATTGGTGTAATGACTAGAGAGACGCATTGGGATATGTCCATCTCAGTGGGGTCGCTCCGAGGCGATGACTCCATTGCATTGAACCGGCCTTTGTACAACCACGCGGGAAGCTGCTTGGCCGAAAAAACCATCGATCACCCGCGGCTTCAAGTAATCCAAAACGCCCCTGTTGTTTTAACAATCCAAACGCCAAATTCAAAGGAAACCCAAGTTTAGTCTTGGAATTGGTTGACATTACTTTTTTTGAAGTTTGAGACCCCACCAGGCTGGATGATGAATGATCCAAGTAGACGACCATATGATATATCTGGTGTGGCTCCAGAGGCACCCAGCTGAATAGCTGTGCCATTTCAATTCTGTTGTCAAATGTGTTCATCTTTTCCCATTCAGACATTCAGACTGGAATAGCTTACGTGATTAGCACTTATAACCCATTCACTGTGACATTTCTTCAGACCTTTTTCAGACCCTACATGTGAAAAAACCAGCCAACCAGCCATCAAAAATCGAGCCCGCAGCATCCAACCCACCCACAAATCTGCGCCCAGCTATGCCCAGCTAGGTCTGATGAAGGTCCCTCCTCCCGGAGTCCCCGTGCCGGCTCCCATGCCGCCCAGCTCCTCTTCCGGAGTAGCCAAGCCGGAGAGCCCCTTGGATGCGGAGTGCCCAAGCCAGGAAATCCCTTGTTGGAAACCTATGGGAAATCCCAACAAAAATCCAGAGAAAATCCCATGTGACATGGTGAAATCCTATCCAAAAGCTGACACATCTCATAATCGCATGGTTTCTTGCCGAAAAACACTTAAACAATCTTGAACCAAAGCTAGAAATGCTAGAAAAAGGATGGGGATGGGTTCGGGAATGGTCGATTTAGCTCCAATTTATGGTAATTTCGATGGTGAAACAGCTGGAGTTTTACGGCAAATGTGGCCTGCGCTGTCAACCCCGGATAAATACAGCATTATAACATCGGGGGGTGACCAAAATAGTTATAACATGTTATGACTTATTTAGGACACTGCCACCACCCTATTGGGTCCTATCAGTCTGGGTATGCCTGGGTCCCTGGTCCCTATATTTCCACTACATCAAAATTTTGTGGTTTTGTTGTTTTGAGTCTTCAAAAGCATGTATGTTTTCTTTTCTTTTTTTCCGGATGCCCAAGTTTGAGCCATACCTGACCGGATTTTTCTACACCTGGCAATATTTGTCAGCACCATTTGCTGAATCACCACCATCAGGAACAAATCCATCAACGTCATCATCCATCATTGATGTCTGTAACAATGTTTCCTCATTGTTTCTTCAGCAGCTGGCAGCTGCCGTCAGCACCATTCGCAGTCTTGTCCAGGTATTGATGAGAAATTGATCGAGGAGGTTTTGGGTTTGGATTTGTTTGACCATGACGGTGTCACCTACAAAGTGGCCGACTTGGGCAATGCTTGCTGGGTGGAAAGGCGGGGGACCAACTCCAGGGACTGTCAGATCTTGCTGATAAGATCTAGCTGGGCCAGCTCCCTATCTCATAGGATCCATGGTGCTGCCATATATGGTAACATGGATCCCATCAATATACCCCATTTATGTTAGCATATATACCAGCACCATGGATCCTATGGCTATTTGGGTCTGTATTTTATATCTGGCTGGTCTTGGAGATCCCGTGATCTCCATTGGGAATTCCTCACAGCTGGAGGCACTTCTCAGATGACATCCAGACGCGACAGTACCGCTCGCCTGAGACCATCATTAATGCAGGATATGATACCTCAGCCTCTTGGCAAAGATACCTTTTCTAACCAACATCTTTTAAAGCGCGAGAACGGAGAAAGGCTGGTGTGATCTGGTGTGGCCTTTGGTCAATCGAACATATCTGGAAAAACCATCTTTTGGTTGGGGAAAATCTGTAGATACCTTGCTGTACTGGGATTTTGTTGTGAATAGGCAAGGTGACCAGAGGATATCTTGAGGCTTTTACGGGGCCACGTCGCTTTTGTTGGTATGCGTTAGTGACTGTTAGTCCGGGGGCTCCTCATCATGTGATGGATCCAGCGGTTTTCCTCTGATATTGCTGTATATAACATATTCTCACGATGCACCAGGGCAAATGACGCGAACCTCGCGTTTGAAACGATGGATCATAAGTTCCCGTTATCATGCGTTTTTTTTTAACCCCAAGAGTGGAACCTATGAAGCCCGATGAAATCGTATATGTAGTTTGTTTCCCCGGGCTACATTCCTCATCCCTCATCATCCCTCACCATCATCCATCATCATGTTGGTTAATCAAATAACATCAGAAAACCGGATATATATATATAACATTGGATGGCTACTTTAGTATAAGTACACTTGATTTATTTCTTGTATTACGCCTTGGCAGAATGAAAGTTACGAATCTCAGCTGTCCTTTGTCATCCTTTGTCCAAATGTCCCAGGCAGACATTTGGTCCTTGGCATGCATGGTTTTCGAGCTGGCCACGGGTGACTATCTGTTTGATCCCAAAGCCTCAGACGAATATCCCCGGGACGAGGACTGTAGCGGCTGTAGCGGGCGATGGCCATGAAGCCATGGTGATTTCTGGCTGATGCTTGGATTTGTGGTTGCATACCCATAGGATCCATGTATGCCATATATGGTAACATTTACCATCAATATACCCCAAATGTTAGCATATATACCAGCACCATGGATCCTATGGGATATTGACCATATTGACCATATTGACCAACGAAAGCCGAACGATAGAGAATCTCTACGCCCTTTTTCGAATGTATTTTGGAATGCAAAAAATGGTTTGTGGATTCCATCCTTTTTTGGGCAACAAAAATGGGCAAGCCACAACAACAGGGTCAACAATGGAAAAGATATGGATGCCCATGGGGGATGTCCCAGCCATGGTTGATGACACCGCCATGGGTCATTCCATTAATCACCACTAGTCACCACCATTTGACCATTATTAACCACTACACTAGGAACCCATGGTTATACCACTAAAAAAATCATGAATAACCATCAATAACCACTATTATAGCATTATTAATAAATTATTAATCACTATTCAATATTCATCACTTGCAACCACTATACAATTAATCATTCCAACAACCTCTATGTAGATGAACCATGATGAACCAACCATTATTAAATATTAATCACTTTTAACGACGGTTACACCACTATTCATCCAACGGTTTAAGCGCCAGGACCACTTGGCACTTTTCATTGAGCTTTTGGGGCCAATGCCCAAGGATCTCATCAGTCGTGGAAGGTGCCCCCACGTCGAATTAAAAAGAGCTTGGCCGCCCCGGAATGGAAAACGCTCATGAATCACTGGTATATATACCTGGACAAGTTATAACGACCTCACTGCGACCTCACTGGAATCATAGTTCATAAGGGAAATCATCCCAAAATGGCATTATTTCAGGTTAGTGAAACATTATAATTTACCCAGACATATACGTATAGCATGAGTCAGTATGAGTATGTAATGTAATAAGATGCACACACACACACACACTTGCTCACACACGCATCTATATATATATATATATATGTGTGTGTGTGTGTTTGATTGCGTGTGTGATATATATATATATATGTGTGTGTGTGTGTACCATCTGAACAGATGTAAAACTTCTTATTGGTTTTCACTACTTTGCAGGGGGACTGGAGCCGATTTGCCTATCCAGTCCAACGAAGCTATGGCATTTCGGTGGATGAGTGGTCTGATCAACCACTTGTACCTGCAAAACTCAGTTTGAACTGTTGACCAAGCTGTTACACTGCATTGTTTCGACCCTACACGGTTGCCACAATCTGTATTGCATGCATCAGAACCTTCCTCAGATTTTCGCCGAAACCATATCGCCGACAGTATTATGATTTTTTGACATATTTTCGCCGAGATCATGTCGCCGACGAACTTTGGGTCTTTTTGGGAAACAATCGCCGAAACAATTTTTTGGATTTCAACATGCTGGTCCAAACTCTATGGAATCTGGTTAAGACTACGTTTGACAATATTGGATGCCCTACATCGTTTTCGAGACGTACCTCATGTGGCTCCTTTACTAATCTAACGATCTAGACTGGTTTGCATGTTTCAGGATTCAGTTCCTGCCGGATCATATAATGATCCTTTCTTGTCTAGTGTGATTTCCATGGTGGCTCCGACATGGTGCCATGGAGCCATTTGAGGCAACCCTTTTCAGGGTGAGTGCTGACTGTCCTGACTGCCGAATTTACGCATTTTAAGTTGGTAATTCATCTAAGTAAATTGCAACAGCCGGCCATACTGTTTTTCCAGCTTTTTGAGATGTCCTGCCGTTCCGGCTGTCCCTTGAGATCCTCGTGAATTGCTTTCTTCACTGAGAGAAGCCATGCGGAACAACCTGAAACGTTCTTTTTTCGATCACTACAGCTCAAGCTTTGGAAGTGAAACATGTCCATGTGACGGGTTACAGGCAGGCACACGACTTTCAGGTGTGGTGATTCTTTCTTTTGATGGTTGTCTGGTGAGGTTAAACATTTTGTGCATCTAATTCGATGGAACTTGGAAGCTGTTTTATGCCATTGCGGCACGACTTGACCACGGTCCCGGTGCAGGGAACAATCGCACGACATTTTAGGCAGTTAGGGACTGAATCCTGTATGTGATTGTTCACTTTTGTTTTGATCTACTGAAGCGATGCATCCGTGGAACACTCCGCCAACGTCATGGCCTGCTCCACCGCAGCCTTCGAACCCATCTTCGACGTGGCAGCAATCAACGCCGAATGCACATTTATTTGGACATCCCTCGGCCTTGCATCCTACATGGTCATCCTCAGCTTCGCTCATGCCGTCTACATCAACCCCAACATCGTTGCCGTTCACCTCATTGACTTCGGCTCCTCATGCAGTACCAGGGCCACAGCTCGTACCCACCATGCCTTCGCCTTTGGCTCCTGAACCAACTGTGGTGCACACCGCTCCGTCGACTTTTCCATCTCCTATGGCACCCACCGCTCCACCCACGTGGCCTTCCCCTCCGGCTCCATCCCCTACATCGACTACACCACCTACATCGACTATGACACCGACACCTTTGCCCAGTTCTCCATACCCACCTCACCACATTCAACCTCCATTACAGATGGACGCATCGACGGTCCCTCCAAATGAGCCTTCACCACGACCCCCAGCAGTCAAGGCAGCTCCCAGGCATCGCTCTGACAAAAGACCGGATCGACCACGCAGGCCAGCTCCGAAAACCCCTCCTCACGCTACACCACCGGCACCTACGACAGCACCGACTTCATCCGTGTCACCTGAACTTGCATCCCTGGGTTCCACTGCACAACAACTGGCTGAATCTGTTCGACTTATTCAAGCTCAGCAACAATTGATCATGGATTCTCAACGAGCACAAGAACAACGTCAACTCCTTCTTCAACAAGATGAACTTCCACCGAATCCTACACCACCGACACCGCCACCTACAACTACACCACCACTGATCGCCACGCCTCCACCTGCACCGAAAGCCAGACCCACCGAACCGGCCGTTCAGGACCATCGTATTGTCCCAGCTCCAGCCATCGCTCCTCCTCACCAACTACAAGTTCCACCACCACCAACACGCCGACCACGATCCAGGACTCCAAGATCACGTTCCCATCGACCTTCTGGACATTCCCATCACCATCGCAAATCTCCTCAACGTGCAGCTCGACCTCGTTCTCCTCTTCCTCGTTATCGATCATCCACAAAACACGCCAAGGACCGCCGAACCCCATCCCCATACAGACGAAGATCACCACCACGACGACGCTCTCCGGTGGTTCCTCGACGTCATCGATCTCACCCACGCCCACGCTCCGAGACACCACGTCACCGATCCAGAGGCCGTGAAGTCATACTTCGACCAGCTGCAAACCCATCCAATCCGGCCTACATCCCCACTCCCGACGCTGATGACACACCTGGGGCACATGGAACGACAGCCATTACACCGACAACTACCACCACCACACTGCTCGACCCAACTCTCCTGCCGATCCACCGCCACCTGAACCAACTACCAACCCACCAGCCCACACTTCAGCACCACTCGGCGCGGTGTCCTTCCGAGTTCCGGACGGCGACAGTGAAAATTCTGAGGTTACAGATACAATTTCGCTCACCAAGTTTGACACGAATGACATCGACCTCGATGAAATGGTGGCGGCGGCCAATGACCCCCATAGGGTCCGTTGCCTGACTGAGCTTGGCCCCGATCATGTTGTTCCCCTACGCCGATCATTGACCCCGGCTATCTCGCAGCTCTTCAACCAATTTGTGGACGCGATGTTCGAAAAGTTGGCCCAACCATACCGCACCGTCAACAACCATCGTATTTACATCAAAGCAAGCCAAGCCACCGTCAGGAATATTGCCAGGGCCTTTGCACAATCCGACTTACTGGACATCGAACTCGCAAGGCAAACACAAGCCTTCTACATCGAGCCAGAGAACTTGCTGACCATCACGGTTCCCACAGGATTGAAGAAGAAACCAATCTACCGTGGCGAACACATGGGCACCTACCTGATCTACCACAAAACGAGTTGGGAATCAGTTGCCAAAATTCTTGCGGAAGACTGCATCCGCCCGGCAACTTGGACAAAAAACGAAGCCGGCATACCGACTCAATACCCATGTTACGGGTTCTTCGGAATGTCCTCTGAGATCGCAGACATCGACAACCTACCCGGCTACGCCGTCAAGATCTGTACCTCTCAGCTCTACAAAATAGGCAAAGGAAAAAAAACCACCCTCAAACTTACCGCTGCAGCCACCCGCCTTGCCACAGCGGCCCTCCCACCCAACATCCTCCTCGCCCTCCGCCTCGGACGCATGGTCGCCCTCCAAAAACCCAATGGCCGGGTCCGCGGGCTCGTCATGGGAGATGTGTTCCGCCGCCTTGTCGCCCGAACGCTCGCACAACAGTTCAGCCCCCAGTGCCAAACCGCTACTGCCCCCCACCAGTATGCGCTTGCCACACGGGCTGGAGGCGAAGCACTTGCACGGTCCGTGCGGGTTGCCACAGAGTTGCAACCAAACCTCACCGTCCTGTCCGTCGATGGCGTCGGCGCGTATGACCATATTGCGCGCCAGGCCATCCTTCAAGGCATCCACGGTGACCCGGGCCTCCGCCCCCTACTCCCATTTGTGAGGCAATTCTACGCGTCCCCTTCCGAGTACCTCTGGTATGATGCGGCTGGCACATGTCACCCCATCCACCAGCACGAAGGCGGCGAACAGGGGCACCCCCTCATGCCAGGCCTGTATGCGGTCGCAGTGGCGCCGGCCCTACAGGAAACCCACCGCGCACTCCTCCCCGGGGAAGCGCTCCTGGCATACCTGGACGATACTTACATCCTCTGCGCCCCTGAGCGCACGCGGGTCTTCTACGAACATCTGGAACAGGCACTCCGGCGCCACGCCAACGTCACGTTACACCAAGGCAAAACCCGCATGTGGAACGCTAGTGGTGCCTCCCCCACTGCCTGGCCACCCGCACCCCCTGACGCGCCG